CACCCCAGAGGCTAGAGAGCAGTCAGCGACAGCTGCCTTCCCAGGAGGTGGACTAACCCCTGGGAACCCTCTGGAAGATAGCCCACTGGCATTCTCCCAGGCAGACTCTCCTCTCCAAACTCCCAGCCAATCACTTCAGATCACTCCAGCTGAGAGGTCTTACTTTCCTCTGCTTCTCTGGATCTTCCTGGGCTATTTTCTCATACCAGGCCTCAAACATGCCATCCTGACACTCATCCATCCATTCTGAGTTCTGCTTGGCATCAGCAAGCTCGTCTTCTTCACTCCACTGGCTGAAAGAAGCACACAAAGAGAGAAAAGGATACCTCTGCCAATACTCTAGGAAGAGCTGGGTAACAGGCTCTGTGTCCTACCGGCCTAACAGACGGAGCATTTTCAAACTTCTGAGGGGAAGATGTGCATGTGGTTTCCAAAGCCCCAGGATCTGCGAGACTGTTGACAGAACATACCGTAGAGGGAGACGCCCTTTCCAGAGCGGACGACGACAGTGAGGAATTAGAGCCTGAGAGGTTGTATCTGCAGGTGTAACTCCCCGACAACCACGTGTGGTGAGCCTCCTCTGCGACTCTGGCAGCATCAGCACGAGGGGAGGCAGGAGGCCCCGGGGACTGGCTCCCCCCCAGCGGCTCTCAGGCCCTGACACTGCACTCAGCCCTGGTCCTCGGTCTCCTCAGTGCACACAGTGTCACACAGATAATCTCATGGGCTCCTTTCACAGGCAAAGTCACGAATTTCCATAATCTCAGTTTACAGTTTGTTCTAGCAACCGGAATTTTAAATATAAAAGGATTTGCTCAACCACAAATGCAAACTATTTACCAGCCAACCAACCAACACACACTTGTTGACTCCTGTGTCCCAACAGACTGCCGCCAGGCCTCCTTGCAGTCAGGAAGGGCGCTGGGCGCTGAGGAACCGGAGGTGGGCGGGGGCGGGGGGCCCTCCGGGACTACTTGGCGCAGGCACGGGCCCACACGCCCACCCCGGCTGTGTGCCAGGTCCGGGACACAGGAGACAGGTGTAGGTCTAGCCCCTCTTCCAGAATGCCCAGGATGTCTGAGAAAGTGAAATCTGCGGCAACACTGACCCACTAATTCCCCTGGTCCTGCCCCATGCCTTCCGTCTCTCGTTTCGTTCTTTCTTCTCCATGCACATGAGTAGCTGATAGGTAAGTGGACTCGAGCAGGGTGGAGAGACACTCATTACAAGTGGAAAGGAAAGAAAGTCCGCATACTATTTTTTCTCATATCTTAAGTCCTTATAATGTGCAAGAGGTTACAATGGCTAAAACCCCATATACACGTAACTGAAAAATAAAGAAAAGGATTCTCCGATTCAACAAGCTGGACTAGGGTCTCCAAAAATGCGGAGGATCCTCGTCCTCACAGTCCCATCACCACCACCTTCCACACACTTCCACGCACCAGACACTGTTGTCAACCCTGAGAAACACAATTCATTTACCCTTCACAATGATCCTATGAGGTAGGTAACATTACTATCCTCCAGGCGTAAGAAGGAGGAAACGGAGGCACAGCGGGTACGAATGAGTGTCCCAAGGTCACCCGACCGAGCCGTGGCAGAGCCAGGATGCACTACGGGGAGTCTAATGCCAGCAACCGGGCCCTGAACTCCTCTGCTCCGGGCACTGCGGGGTGCGGGACTGGGTTCTTACCTGATCACACTGTCGTGCACGCTTATATTTTCTTGCGACATCTTCATGAGGAGATGTGGTAACTGAATGTCCACAAAGAAGGTGAGATCGGCGGGTTCCCAGCCCATATCCAGAAGATGGAGCAGGGCTGTCTGCACACAGGACAAGGCAGGCAGCAAGGACCTAAGGAGCCCATGAGGTGCGAGTTATCGAGGCTGCCATCCCCAGCGGGACGGCACAGACGGCACACGATGCAAGCGAGAACCCGGTGTGCCTGCAGGTGAGAGCAGCCTCCCCACGCTCCACACAAGCCCCCCTCCAAGGGCAGCTGGGCAAGAGTCCCGGAAGCACGACGTGAGGTGTCCGCCATGCCCGCCTCGGGGCATTCTGTGGTTAAGGACAGAGCGTAAAAATCACGACCCGATAAGCAGCCCGTCCCAAATTAGCGCAGGTCATTCCTTCAGCGCGGACGGAGAGGAAGATCGTCCGACTTAAGGTTTCTGTCTAAACCACCCATGGGGGATGATACTGGGGAATGGCTTCACACCCAAGTCTTAAAACTGCACATAACCCACGGAAAACTGAAAAGGACAGGTCGCACGTTCTTACATAAGCCAAGAACCATCCCCTTGAAAAAGGACACAGCACACAGAAAAAAGGCTGGGACCAAGTATCTGAGCAAGTTCGCGCGAGCAATTAGCGCTAGACGGTAACGTCAGGGATCATCGTTTTCTTTTCCACATCCTCAACACCGAACGTGTATTTCCCCTAAGGTCAGCAAAAATAGAGACATGTGTTCTCTAGAGATGATGAAGTGGTAAGTACCTGTCGCTGATGCTGCTAAATCCTTTAACCGCTTTGACCAGAAACAGAACGAACTGGTGGTAAGTGTCTCGAATCTCCTTGTGCAGACTTGCGCCACAGCCCTCCAAGTGCGCGAAATAACTAGATACAGAGAAAAGCACTGATGGCTTAATTGCCCACACAGCACGGACTTCACGGTCGTGATTCCCTCCGCAAAACAGAGCCCAGCAGCTGAGCAAAGTGGCGCGGAGGCCGGAGTCAGCGTGAGCACCTGACTCCAGGGGGTGGCAGCGCAGCAGCAAGGATCCACCTGCCGGGCCAGGAGTGAGGGAAGGCAAGGACTTCTCCTTCTTGGGTAATCTGACCCGCCCCCCCGACCTTCACCGCAGCCAGGCCCCTCGGCCCTGCCCACCCTCCCCTCCCCAGTGACCTCAGCACCAAGCTCGCTGCCTCTCCCACCTCGACGCTTGTCCCCTGGGAGACTTCAAGACCCACGGGAACGATGCCCGGGCGCCTCTGCCATGGTCACCTCCAGCCTTCTTCGGACCTCGTCACCACAGTGACGGCAGGACTTCTGAAATCCTGACTGGATTCAGAGCGTCCTGCTCTGCCCCCCGCCCCAACAACAGTGACTTCCGCCCCAAGGAACCCCAACCTGTGACGCTGCCTCAGGGCGCTGGCAGCCCGGCTGAGATCCCGCGGCCCCTCACCGCCACCTCACCCGAGCAACCGCCAACTCCCTGCTGCCTCCTCCCTCCACAGACTGGCCTGCGAGAGCTTACACCGGTATCCAAACAGCACAGTGCTGCTGGAGGAAACAGCACGCATCGGGCTGACGGGCGCCACGTTCAACTCATGACCACGATTCTCAAAGAAGCACTCAGAGCGCTCAGCCAGTCAGACTGGCTTTCTCACCTTGCGTTACCGTTTCAACCCTTCGTGCCTCTCCTTAAACTGCCACGACTTCTCCTAGCCCTTCACTTTTAGCTGGGACTACGCGATTTTCATTTTAAAAAGCAGAAAGATCACACAGAGGCCCCCATCTCTGCACCACCAAACCGACCAACCGGTCTGCCCCTCCATGCGCACCATGCTGCTCGGGCCGCCACAGACGGTCCCCCGGCTCTGTGCAAACCAACCCTGTGCGTCTGCACCTGCCATGCGATGGGCCCTCTCTTCCTGCATCAAGTGTGTGTCAGGACTGATGCTTTCCCACCAGCATATGAAATGCACTAACACCTTATCTTAAAAACCCTCAGCTGAGCCCATGTCCCCTGCAATTCTGCCTTTTCCTCTCTGTACCACTCTAAAGCCAAGGATCTTGAAATGATGGTCTGTGGTCTCTCCCTCCCTTTGCCCCCCCCACCCCATTTTCCTCTCCACCCAGTCCAGCTGGGCCTTCAGCCCCCTGGCCCCCGCAGGACTGCAGACAAATCCAGTGTGGCGCCACCTCCCACATCAGCATTTGACACAACGGACACATTCCTCTCTTGGCTTCTAGGACCCCGTCATCCCCTGGATTTCGCTCTTGATGGCTACCCCTTCGTGATCTCCTTAGTTGACCCCTCTTCCTCTGCCTGAGCTCTGAATAAGAGGTGCCCCTCAGGCTCAGTCTTGAGCCCATTCTTGTCCATCTCTAAGCTCTTTCTTGATCATCCAGTCTCATGGCTGTAAAGATCATCCGCATGCTGACAGCATCCAAACTCTATCCCTAGCCCTGGCTTCTTTCCAGAACCTCAGACCCTTACCTTTACTCCCTGGATACCATTACTTGAATGTGAAAAAAGCAGGTCTAATTTAACATACCAGAGCAAAGTCTGATTTTCGCCCCAATCTGTTTCCTCCATTCTCTTCCCCTCAGTAAAATCTGTCACAATCCACCAACTGCTGTAGCCAACATCCAGCAGGCCCTTCCTCACGGTTCCTTCCGCCCAATCCATTGTGCGTCCCGGTGACTCTACCTCCAAAGCAGATCCTGAGGGCCCTCCTTTCTCTCCATCTCCAGGACCATTCCAGGGTCCAGAGCCTGCCACTGCCCGCCTGGCCAACTGCACCGTCTCCCGACTACTTTGCTTCCGTCCACGCTTTCCCACAGAGTAGCCAGAAGTGACTTTCATAAATGTAACAGTGTGTTCCTCCTGGGCTTGGGATTCCCCACGGGTCTCCCACCTACAACTCAGTATGAAATCCAAACACCTTAAACCCCGTCCTACAAAGATCGGCATCATCTGAGCCCCGACTCATCTCCTGAGCTGGTCTCCTGCCATCCCCTCTCACTCAGGCACGCCGGTTTTCGTTCTGTTCCTGGGGCCAAGCCCTCACCCCAGGGCCTCTGCGCTGTTCCTTCTGCATTCAGTGCTCTTCCTTCTGAGCTCACTGGTCATTCATCTCTTGGTTTACAGGCTGACTTCTCAGCCCCGCTCCCTGAACACGCAAACTACATCACTCTGTTGGAGGTCACCACACGCCTGGGATGGACACATTACATAGATGGAGGAATGGATGGATTTCTCTCATCATCCGTCTCTCCTCAATAGAATACAAGCTCCAGTAGGCATACCTGGGTAGCTCAGGGGGTGAAGCGTCTGCCTTTGGCTCAGGTCATGATCCTGGAGTCCTGGGATTGAGCCCCTTGTTGGGTTCCCCACTTGGTGGGGAGTCAGCTTCTCCCTCTCCCTCTGCCCCTCCCCCCTGCTTGTGTGCATGCACCCTCTCTCTCTCAAATAAATAAAATCTTTCAAAAAAAAAAAAAAGCAATACAAGCCCCATTAGAACGAGACTCTTGTCTGCCTCATCCACTGCTGCACATCCATCGCCTAGCACAGTGCCTGACATCGTCAACGCTCAGGAAGGAGTTGTTCAGTGGCTATCAGAACCACGTTGTGAGGTACTCAGATTAATGTCCTCACTGTAAATGAAAATTAAATTTAGTTCACAGCTTCCAGAAGCCACCTGATGGATATGGGTACACAGGGAACACAATCCTCACTGTCTGGTAAAACAAAGCTGAGAAACTCATCAGGAGAAATAAACAAGATTTCTGGCATTTACTTACTAGAAAGAACCCGTTTCTCCTTAGGATGAGAGAACTGACCAAAAACAAATTTGCATCCTACACGGAAATAACAGTTACTAATTAAAGACAACTAGGGTTTCTTTACAATTGCCCGGGCCTGTTTTCCTTGCAGATGTGTGATTTGTACTTACTTGGTAAACTCTTTCTGGCAGGTGAGGAGCTCCAACAGGAAGAGTATGTATGGCGGATGGAAGCAGTGAGGCTGTCCGAGGGACTCTGAGCAATACTGAACGATCCTCAGGACTTCGAGGACACTCTGCGCCTGGGCTCTCCTCAAGGCAAGAACCTTTACGACACTGCAGACAGAGGTCAAGTCAGGCACAGCAAGAGAGCTCGAGCTGGTGCTACGGCAGCCGCAGGAGCGTCACTCTGGAGGGGGACCTGGCCCCGCTGGCTCCTGTCCGTCAGTGCTCAGCGGCAACAGGCACAGCTCACAAACAGCCCAGAAGCCGGACACCCCAAACTCGCAAATTCAGGAACTGGAAAGGGACTCTGATCTTTTTACTGCCCCACGGAGACGAAGCTTTAATTCTTAGGGCAGGAAATTATTAAAACATGTAATACTTCCAGACACGCAGACCCGCTGACAGATAATTTTGTCAGAAAATCTCAAATCCTAAGTTTCTCCCAGGATTAATGTAAGACACATTTATAAATGACAGCTACCAAAACCAATGTTTCTTTTTTTAATCCTGGTGTACATTACTGAGATCTAATTTACATACCGTGTAATGTACAAGCCTTCAGTATTTTCAGTAAGAAAATACTTCTTAAAAGAAAAAAGTAACCACCCAATTTTGTCTTCACCGTTCTAACACAAATCTTGACCTCTCCTTCAAGTACTCCTTGCTCACTTGGACTTCGTGAACGCTGAGTACGGGGAGGGCACTGGCGGCTCACCTCTCGTGGGAGAGGGACTGGTCCTTGATGAAGTCCAGGACATCCTTCAGCACGGGGTACTTCTCCTTCACTGTGGGCGCTGGCCTCGCCTCCTCCACGGACCGGAAGGAGAGCAGCCTGAGTCGGCCTCGGGTGAAGGGAGGCCGCCGGGCGGGGGTAGAAGGTGACGAGGGCTCTTCGGCGGCGGCAGAGGACACCTCGGCGGCAGGGGGCCCGCTGCTGGGTGGCAGCTTCGGCTGCACGTCCGAGCCAAGACCCCCAACGCCCGCAGCAAGGGCGCCCGCTTCCACGGGAGACACGGGGGCCTGGAAATGCTCCTCCACCACAGAGCTCGTCCTCGGGCGCTTGTCCCGTGGCTGGAGGTGATCCGTTTCATCTGCAGCCACCAACCTGTCACAGCTTCCTTTTGAACTCACTCCCACGGGCAAAAATCTCAGTAACAGGAGGCTCTTCTGAATACACTCTTTTGCTAAATGCAGAAAGCAAGGAAGGTAATGAAAAAAGGTCAAAATTCAATTTACTGCTTACTTTTGGAGAGAAAATAATCTCTTTAAACTCCACAATTTTGGACAAGAAATACCTCCATTAATAAAGTGACATATATCTCCCTCTGCCCCTCACCCTGTTCTCATGCTCTCTCTCACTCTATCTTTAAAAAGAAATTTAAAAAAAATAAAGTGACATACACATCTTCTGAAGAAAATAAACTCTTATGTCATTATACAAATCAAAATCTTCCCAGCACTGTCAGTACACTTAAAAGGAAGTTTTCTTGTGGACATTTTTTTTTTTTTAAGATTTTATTTATTTATTTATTCGAGAGAGAGAGTGAGAAAGGGAGGGGGGAGAGAAAGAGTGCACTCCAGTGAGGGGAGGGGCAGAGGGAGGGGCAGAGACTCTCGAGTGGACTCCCCACTAAGCGCAGAGCCCCACACAGGACGCGATCCCAGGGCCCTGAGATCACGACCTGAGCCGAAATCAAGAGTCAGCTGCTCAACTGACTGAACCATCCAGGTGCCCCTATTGTGGATATTTCAAACATACAGAGAGAAAAGACTATGAGGACCCCATCACGTACCCCTGACCCTGCCCAAGGCCAGTCTCGTTTCACCAGCCACCCCCTCCCTGGACTATTTCCATGCAGATTGCAGGGATCACACTATTTCATCTAAAAACTTCACATTTCTCTAAAATAGCAAGTTTTTAACATAACCATGATATCACTAATTCCTTAATCTCACTGAACATTCACTGACAGCACACTTTAAAAACAACAAAAGGGGCGCCTGGGTGGCTCAGTCAGCGAAGCGTCTGCCTTCGGCTCAGGTCATGATCCCAGGGTCCTGGGATCGAGCCCCACATCGGGCTTCCTGCTCCGCGGGAGGCCTGCTTCTCCCTCTCCCTCTGCCCCTCCCCCAGCTTGTGCGCTCTCCCTCTCTCTCTCTCTCACTTTCTCTCTCTCAAATAAATAAAATCATCTCGAAGACGGGTCACCAGTTTCCTAGGGAGTGTAAACAGAAGGCTCGGCACACTCACCCAGGCTCTCGGGGTTCACCTCAGCCGCTTCCGACCCATGCTTTTCTTCTGCCTCGTTCCCCAGGTTTATCAGGGACTTCTGCTTCATCTCCAACTGGGGGGAGAGTTTGAGCCACACAATTACAGTGTCCAGGCAGGGCCACGGCACACAGCATGACATCACGGAGAACTGTTACAATTACTGTCCAACTCTCGAGGACACAGACCTCAGCTGTTTTTGTTTGTCCTACAAGTAATCCAGGCTTTGAAGCTGTCTAACAGTATGTCCGCAACACTGCCTTCTTTCCAACTATGCCTTGTTTGGGAGGGGATTGTAACCCTGATCCCATTACTTAAAAAATCGGGGCACACGGGTGGCTCAGTTGGTTAAGCGTCCAACTCTTGATTTCAGCTCAGGTCGTGATCTCAGGGTCCTGAGATCGAGTCCTGCATCGGGCTCTGTGCTCAGTGCAGAGTCTGCTTCTCCCTCTCCCTCTGCTCCTCCCCCTCCCCCGCACTTGTGCGCGCTCTCTCTCTCTCTCTCTCAAATAAAGAAATAAAATCTTTAAACAAAACGTAGAACATTGGAGCTGGAAGGGCCCTTATCCAAAGCCGACCTAGCACGGACAAAGAAGTGGAGGTCTAGAGAAATGAAGGGTCTTGCTAGGGTTACGCACCCAGTTTGCTGCAGAAATTGGACCAAAATTCCATCTCTACTCTACCCTGTGTGAGGGGATGCTTGCATGTGATGCTGGGCCTGCCAGGCAGAGAACAGCACTCCTAGTACCAGGGTAGGCAATGGTCACAGCGGGGGCCATGGTGCTGACAGCCCAGGCAGAAGGCCACGTCTGGGAGAGGAGGCTGGTGTCTTGTCCAGCTATCGGCAGTCGTCCCACACTAAACCAGAAGCGCGATCTACGCTGTGCCTCGTCAACTGCCAAGTCCTTTCACTTTGAGTGCCTGTGGCAGTGAGTTTATCAGTCTTTTCCTCAGGCCACTACTACAGCTTTGGTTTCCCTCCACACACTGTTGTGACCCTCCTCACACCCTCCTGATGACAGTACCTTCTAGCTTCTCTTGAGAATCTGTTCACCAATGATTTGGAGCTACTCGGATCTCTGTTCCGACACGTCTGCTACATTCTCACAGGTTCCCTAACTCCTCCGGCTAGGCATCTCAGGTCACCTGTGTGTCCTCATACTCAGCATGTCCCAGAATGAATTCACACCCCCCCACCCCGCCCACTCCCAGCTCCAAGGCCATTTCCTCCCCCGTATGGTTAATGCTTCCACCGCCCAGCAAGTCCCCAAGCCGGGAACGTGGGAAGGGTCCTGGACACCACACCACTGCACACCACTCACACCAGCCACAGAACCTGACCATTCTACGCCCAGGAGCAGCCACCACGCTCACTGAAGAACCACAGCTGGTCTCCTGCTCTCAATCTCATTGCCTGTCCTCTCCAAGACTTAACGATTCCTCCCAATTACTACACAGTACTTAAGATGATTGTGAATATATGGACCATAATAATAATAACACATAGGGATTCAGCTCCATGCCTAAGAAAAATAAAAACGGTTCTCCTGAGTCTGATGGTCATCATTTCCAGGACTTTGAAGAACTTTACTACACATGTACGTACCTAACAGGACACAGATGTGGGTTGTGTGTAAACTTTACTCGTGGGTTCCCCTAGGACTTGCTTCTACTCGTCGTCACGTGTCAGCTGACCTCCTTCACTCACGGCAGGACAGCACCACGCACACCTCCCACACCGCGACGCCGCGTTACGCAGTAACACAACAGTCCCCTCTGCCCATCCTCCCACTCAAGGGCGCTCCGTCCCTCCGCTCCACGGCTGTCACAAGCGGCCACACAGAACCACTGTTCTGCAGCACAGCAGCCTCTCCCTGGAGAGCGGCCTGACCCCACCCAAGGCCGCCAGCGTCCGCCCCGTCGGAGAGGCCCCGCAGAGTGGCCCTGGGGCTACGGAAGGGCGTCTGGAGCTCACGGCCGCGACCTGTTTACTCCGAACGTCCTCAGCACCCACTACACTAGGACTTCAAGGGTTCTAAGTTATTTCAGAGCTTTTCACGCCACTGAACTTCAGTGAAAAACGAAACAAAACAAAACAAAAAACTCGAGAGCTGCTCACCGTAACTGCACACAACCATGGTGCGAAAACTCAAAATACGTAAGAATCGCATGCGAAGAAAATCTTACCATCCATATGCGAATCCCATCTGCCAAGCAATACACCTGTGCAAACTCCTCGCTCAGGGCTGTGTTGCCCCCACTTTTTACTGGGGAAAGGAGAGACGATGAGATTATACTCAGTTAACTCAATCAAGTACTGCAACTTTAAGCACAAAGTAACTTCTAAAACTCCTAACACAGAGAAAAAGTCTTTCCCCTGATGCTCACACCGTGCGGGTGGAACGAGGGAGGGATCAGTTAAGCCATAAACACCAGTAATGGGTTCTCTGTGTTACTACAAACTCACTTTTTTCAAGGGAACAGTATCTGAAATGGACACACTATTAAATGGAGTAAAATACTTAAAGTAAAAATACGAAAGTAAAATATCAAAAATATTAAAAGTAAAACGAAAAGTATTAAAAGTAGGTAAAAAATAATTATTAACATGAAAAAAGTTCACGGTATAAATTAAGTAAAAAAGATTGGTTTTGAAACAGTATAAGCACAAAATTATCTATTTAAAAAGACCATACGTATTAGAAACGTGACGGATATATATGATCTATACACAGATAGATACGCCATGTAAATATGCCTAGATAAAAAGCCCAGGTATATACACAGAAAAACGTTAACAGATGTGTTCTTGAAGTGGTGAGATTACAACTGACCGTTATCTTAAGCTTTCCTGTACTTTGTAGTTTCCACGTGAATGGGTAATATTTTTATAATTAGAAAAGTAACAAAGAAGTTGTTTGTTTAAAGGAAACATCTCCTTTCTTGGCTCGTAAAAACTGGAGGATCACAGACTAGAACAGCGCGCAGCTCTCCACAGAACCTCCGCGGCACCGACGAACAGCGCGAGGGCCACGGCCACACACGGGGGGAGGCGCTGGGCGCCCCCGCAGGCACTGGGAACGCAATGCTGAGAGAAACAGAGCTGGCTCTGCCCTCAGGCAGCTTACAGGCTAGTTGAAAAACTCCTCCCACGTACCTCTAATGCAAAAAGGTGAGCCATTTTTAGACATTTTTAGAGCTAGACAAGGCCCACCCCTCAAGGAGCTCCGCCTGGTAGGACCCAGAAAGAGCCCGTGAAGAACGGAGACCAGCTGTATCTCCAAAGCCCAGCGGTAGGTTATTCTAGAAACAACCTGTATTCAGGGAAGTTTCTAGTTCCCATATCAGACTGTATCTCTCTCCTGAAATTAAGGATGTGCTATCTGAACATGATCTGAAAAGGAGCTGGGGAGCCTGCCACCAGCCAGAAACTTTGTTTCTCAGCTTAAACTCACAAGGCTTTCATCTGCTCAGAGTTCCCGCAGGTAAAAAAAAGACTGTCCAGCTCTCTTACTATAATTTGATTATGAAAACATAAACTGGAATTTTTTTTTTTTTCTTTAAACTTGGCAGGTCACCTGGTACCCCACCTCCTAGCAGAGACACAGTCTTCCACAGGACACTGGTTTTCATAAACCACTCATGCCTCAATGTAGGTTTTATTTATTTGAGCAGCTTCTTCAAGGAAATAGTAAGAATTGAGGGAGGAAGGATTCACTGAGATGTTTTAGAAACCAGGAAATAAACTCTGCGCTGTGCGAGCTAAACAACTGGGCGGTACGGGGCAGGAGTGACTGTCATTGGAATACTTACTAACAGCGGCAACCATCTGTGACCTGCTCTAATGGGGAAAGCACTGTTCCTGCTCAGCTCATCTGCACCATGAAAGCAACACACACCCTGCCAAAGTGCTTGGGAAAAGCCCTAGCTCCTCTTTACGTAGGGTTTGAAAGGTTCTTCCCTTGAGAGATTACGGGGAGAGAGAGGCCCTCCCTCCTGTGGGTCCCACCGGCTGCCGGCTACACACACAGGACGCAGACGACATCTCGGGGGGATGCGAGGAACAGAAATGGTGAGGAGCAGGCTACCAACCAGGAAGCCTACAAAAGCTTTCAGTCTAAAGATAAGCGTGATTACGTTTCCCTCCTTGGTTATCAGCACACTGAATTACCAAAACAACTCAGGGTTTAACCAGCATTTCTTAGAATGTTCAAGCTACCAACTCCCGAGTTTACAGATAAGGGGACGAAGGCACAGAAAGCTTGTGTGAGTAACCTGAAGCTGCGCAACTTCTAGTTCTCGCCCAAGACTATAACCCAAGTGAGGGTCTCCTTCCCTTAAACTTCTTGGCAGTTTTCCACAAGGATTTTGGAGAAGGAAGTGACCTGCTGATCAGGAAACTCAAGGCTCCTTGCACACACGACAATCCACTAACTATAACTGGTCACGGATCTTCTGACTGGCAGAGTAGGACTTAACGAGATGAAGTCTACAGGCGTAGAGATATATTTCAAAATGTTAGAAACGTTCCCACTGGCCTTCGGATCAGAAGTATCCCTGTAATATAAGTTACCATATTTCTGCAGCTTCTCATACAAGCCTGGAGTGCGACACACCAGAGCGGCAAAGGTGGCGTTCACAGCTTGATCAATAGCAGAACCAGCAACTATATCTGTCTTTGGGGCCTGTTTTCTACATGCCTGTATGAATCCTTTGAAAAGTTCTGAAAATGGCCCACAGAAGTTCTGGGCAGGGTCTGACTGTGCAAACTCAAGAAGAAAGTGGTGGCAGGGGTCGTCGGGGATGTTCTTGACCTGGAACAAAACAACAAGAACACATCACGTTGAACCAAGTCATTCAGACAACCAAGTTCACCCGACACTGACTAGAACAAAGCATAAGGACAGAACAGGAAGCTTCAATCTACTGCAGAAACCAGAGACACGGCTTTAAAAACAAGGAAAACATAAATAAAACACTACACGCGTGAACACGAGTGGCACCGCAGAGGGAAAGGTGAGCGAGTGCCAAATGCCGGGAAGGGGAGCCCATACTGAGAGCCCCCGGGAGAGCTCCTGTCAGGCTGGGTGATGAGGAGAAGCCTCCTGGGGGGGTGCGGCTTCAGGCCGGACCCTGACAACTGAGCAGCTCTGGCCCCTGAGGAATAAAACCATTAGCAGAAGTGAAGTCCCAGCCGGGGAGCGGAGGGGTAAGGTGAAAGGAGACTGGACAGAGCCTCAACTGTCACACTGAGGGGCTTAGGCTCCACCCTGTGGGCAACAGGAGCCATTAATGGTGCTTGGCCACAGAAAATAACAAGATAATTCAGCAGTTAAAAAACCCTGGTAGGTCCCAATGTCCCAGTACAAGCGCAGGATGAGGGCCTGGAGAAAGATGTAGACGGGAGGAGCTGGGAGGAGCTGAACACCCCCAGGAGAATCCACAGGGCTGGCGGCGGACTGGGCGGGAGACGTGAGAACAAGCCGGGGCGCCGTGGCTCGGCGCCGAGGAAAACAAGAACGGTAGTGACAGCAGGGAGCAGCCAGAGGAGGGACACGACCACCTCTGAGTGAAGAGGAGTCGGGACACCGACATGGAACTACCCAACGAGAGGACGGGGACACGGGAGTGGAGCCCGGAGAAGCACCAGGGCTACGGGGCTGATGTTTCGGGAGGTTCTGCACAGATGTGACAGCAGAAGAGAGAAGACAGGATAGAGTCTTGGTGGGCTGCGGGGAAGGGGAGAGAGCCGAGTTAAGCCTCCTCTCTAGGGAAGGAAGAACAGGAGAGGCCCACTGAGGAGGCAGGGCCGCAGTGGAGGTCAAGAGAAGACAGTGGGCTGTCACGGAGCCAAAGGAACAGAGGCTCTGAAGGAGCCAAATTTAACAGAGGTCAAGGGGGGAGGCTGAGGAAGAGCCCCAGGATTCTCAGCTACCCACGGAGTGACGTGGGCGAGGGAGGGAGGAAGAGTGGTAGAGCAGAGACGGAGGCAAAGGGGACGGCAAAGAGGCAGCAAACAACTTGTCCAGCTCATGAGACACCGTAAGCCGAGGGAACATGCCGCTGTTCCACAGAGAACACAAAGTGCGCACAAATCGTTTACTCTGACAGCTGACTCAGCGGCTGCTAGATACACACTCAACTGGCTTATTCAGCAACTGGGCCAGATTTCCTGAGCACCAACAACATGTCTCGCCGGCCCCTGGGGCACTCGGTGTGGACACCACGTGAACAAGGGATGGCACCTGCCTTCAGGGCGCTAAGAGCTGAGTGGGGGTGAGGACGCAAAGACAAGGGCTCATGGTGGAAGCAGCAGCCATCAGCAAACGGACTCCATGCCAGGTGGAAAGACGCCGCAAGCGTAAATACCTCCTTACTATCCTGGTGTGGGGGAGTGGGCCAGCTCGCTGCTAATCCCAACTCTGGACTCAGCTGATGCCTAAAGACAGGTTTCCACAGCGGGGAGTTCAGGACCGACGCCATTTTTGCGGGAGGCACTGCCATGTCACTTCCAAACTCTGGAAAGAGAAGAAGGCTTGTGAGAGCCCTGTGTCTTCCCCGCGGCACTGAAGAGCCTGTGGGCAATCTGAGGACGTGCGGGGGACCCACCCCCATTTCCCAGCACACTAGCACACACCCCGGATGCACCCCCGCCACAAGGGCGCCCTAAGGCGCTGCCCTTCTGTGGGACAGCCTCGGTCACGGGCACTTCTGCAATTCCTGTCAGTGCAGGAGATGAAGCGAGGTGAGGACCACCGCCAGGGAACAACCGGAGACCGGGCACAAGTGTTTAGTGGGGGAAATGTTCGCAATTTGTAAACTTAAGTTTGTAAAAAAAAAAAAAAAAAACAAGAAGAATTAAATACCCACCCACACGTGTTTATGAACGGACATAAAAAAAGACTAGATGGGAATACATTAAAATATTAGTAAGAGTTCATTCTGGGTGTTAGCACTAGGAATGGCTTTTCTCCTCGATCTTTCTCCGTTACGCAACTCCCATGATATTTTCCTTTTACATTCAGAAAAACTCAAGAAATGAAATAGAAACAAAACACAGTAGGAAGTTTTATTCTATAATTCTTGTTTCTCGGGTGCATTTAATAACTAAGTTGAAGAAATCACTTTAAGACAAAATCCACTCTCCTGTATTTAACATAAATAGTCACGTGGTTAAAGGATACTGGTAAATTTATTCCATTTCTGCCTTCCAAATTTCACTAACAAAATGAAGATGACCAAGGCCATCCTCCAGACAGGGCATCCTCAACACCCCCTGGGATGTGTTCCAAAGTCCACGTTGAGACACTTTACGGCCACGGCACCGAGCGGTCTATGCTGCGGTCTGGTGTGGTCTGCAGGCCCGCGAGGGCACCCCGTCCATACCTCCGCCCTGCCCTTGTGTGGAGCCGACGTGCGTGAGACTCACGGTGCGCAGACTTGAGCGCCATGCACTGGGCAGCGAGGCGTCCCATCAGCCGGGAAACGAGAAGTTGTAAGTCCAGCGCCCAGGACACGGCCACGTCGGGCAGGCCATAGGCGGTGACGGTGAACCTGTAGCCCCACTCGTTGTTACTGCTGTCAGAGTGAAAGAGGAACTGCAGCCGAGGGCCGGCCTTAAAGGTCACTTTCTAGAGACAAGCACAGAAGCCATGAGGTCCTTCAGGAGCAAGCATGTTCTTCAAGACTCAGGAACTCTAAATCTAACATCGGTCCTGCGTTCTCACCATCCCACCTCACCATACCCACCCAGGGGACTGAAGGAGAAACAGACAAGGGAGCGGATGAAATGCAAAATCCACGACTGCACCGTGTGAAGAAGCAACATTGGCAGTTTTCTAAACCTCGGACGCCCATCTGCCCACTCCCTGCTCATCCAGAAATGGTGCTCGTGCTCCCCACTGAGACCACCAGAGAGCACGCCAATGGCGGGAAGCAGCACTTCACCCCCCGCCCCACCCCCCACCATGCCCCCGAGACCAGTGGGCAAGCCTCCAGCGGGCACTCCCGGCTTTCACCACATGCTCTGCGCCTTCCTGGACCCCAACGCCCCACTCATGCCAGACAATGTGACAGAAACCAGCGGTGGGCAAACTGTGCTGTGAGGAACCAGACAGTAAGTCATTAGACCTCCTGGGCTGTCCGGTCTCTGCTGCGACCACTCAAGTCGGCCTCTGCAGCGCACCAGCAGCTAGAAACGACCCATCAACCGACGGGCAGGCTAGGTGTTGAAGTAACTTTATCTACAAAACAGGTGGCCGGCTGTCCCTGCCAACTCCGACGTGAGCCCTTCCTTTTACAGAAGTGCGAGGGAAATGCTTCCCTTCCAGACCCCCAAGGGCTGACAAAGGAGGGAGTTGGTGCAGAAGCGCACATGTCACTTCTGGGAGCACCACTCACCTTGGGCCACTTCTCGGTGCCAACTTTGGTGTCATAGCGTGTTTTTCCACCTCTAGCGTCGGTAAATTCCAGATAATCATACCTGGGAAGGCATAACCTCCGTTACTCTCCTGCTCTCATTTTAACCCACTACTGCTTAGGAAAAGACCACGGGAGTCTTACCTTTTCTCAGTCTCACACCGCTCGTCAAATTCCACCTCAAAGTAGGTTGCCCCCGGGCTCACGAAGACAGACACCTCGTGGCAATTGTTTTCATAGTTGTGGGCAGACTCTTTTGTCCAGGTATGTAAGACCACGGGACATTCCTGCTGCCAAGTCTCTGCATCGAGCTGCACAAACAAAACGAGTCAAGAAAGCAAGCTTCGGTCACTCTGGGTCCTGCCACATCCGTGTTAGCGCCCCAGACGGACGGCCAGGACACCAGACGCAGATGATCACACAAGCTAAAGTAATCCCGGTGTTCCACCTGCATACACAGGTCAGCGTGCATCTAGCCCTCAGCAGAGGACCCGTGACACTAGCTTCTGTTTTCTGGCCCGAAAGAGCTATTTCTTGCGATTCACTACTCGCATGAATTTCCAGTGGGAAAAACACTGAATTTGGGACCTTGGCAAATCTAAGCCCATCCTCCCTTCTCTCTCCATTTTCAGTCTTTGCTTTTTCACCTTTAAAATAGGCTTTATAATATATGCCCTTTCTGTTCCCACAGAGTTGTTCTGAGACTCAAAGAAGGTAGTGAAAATCGCTGTGTCCTATGAGGTTAAATAGGGAGAAAATTCTGTTAAATACCAAACCTTCTAATATGCCTTTCAACATGCAGTCTCCCTTCTAGACTTCAATCTCGTTCTTCGCTTACGTGGTTTTATACAACTTCACGTGCTGTGAAAGGAGACTGACCTACATACGACTTCCTTTCCAAGGCTGACCACACCAGGTCAAGGTGGGCTGCCATTCATCCTCGCTGGCAAGCCACTGCTAAAACATGGGGGGTGGTCTTCGGGGGCAACCTCAACGGTAGGGGTCACTCAGCACTGTCATCGCTCCCAAGAGGGGATGCGGCGCGGGCTCCGACGTCCACTCCGGTTACCTTACTCGGCGCTCCTTCCGCGTCAGCACAGAGCTGCCTCAACAGTTCTGTTAGCGTACTGAACTCTCTCAGGAGCGTGCAGTGAGAAATGTCTAAAGTGCAGAAGTCCAGCAGAAAGATGACCTGAAGGAAGATTAACGAAGCACTTAGCATCCACCTCAGACTCTGCCTGGGGCTGCGGGTCACCACCCTCCCCCTCTGCAAAGGCCATCACTGTGTCTTACCAGTTGACGAGCTGCCATCGAAAACACTGAATCACATAATTTTTCTACAATGGTTTTTCCACTATACTGTGACAAGAGGGATTCCAAAATCGTTCTCATGCTTGCCAGAAACTGTCCCACATCTACCAAAACATAAAGGCGGTAATTAGTATTGTGTGCGGTAGACACGTCACTTGCTTGGTCGTCACGAAGGACAAAGCTGGCGAGGGTCACAGGTACGGTGGCAAGAATCCCACATCAGAAAGACCACTAGGGGTCATGTGTATGTTTTCCTCAGGGAGGAAAAGCAGTGCAAATCTCAGGGAAGGATCGCTTTTAAAGGGAGTGATTTTTTTCTGTCTTCGCTACTTTGGGATGAGGTGGAATCATCGATTGGCTGAGCAGCCCAGGGGCCAGGCTGAAGTCTCCCTCTGCTCACAACGGGCCCGTCTTCAGTGGGCCACCCCGCGGTCCGAGCCGCAGGCGCCAGCACTCGACCCCGTCAGCAGTCCTGTCACACTGCTGGGACTCAATCTTCCATGTGCGCATCTCTCAGAACCTGTGGAAGGTCACGTCATTTTCTGCGGGTTTATGGGACACGAACAGGAGGATTTGGGGGGTCTGCAGAGACCACAGCAGTGGTCACATATGCCTCAGACTTTAAAAGGTCAAGACTTTCTTGTTTGGGTCACTCAGTTAAAGCCCGGATGACCGGCTCTGCTGAAGACTGTGGCGTCACCTCAGAGTGCTGCACGACGTAGGACTCCACGGTGAAAACTCCGAGGCATACCACCACATTCAGAACACTCGGGGCAAAAAGACGTGCTATAGAACCCTATTTTAAGAAGAAAAACACAACCCAGAGACAGACCTAACTTGTAACTTAGAAGAGAAAACCCTCTGTGGAACTCCACCCACGAGGCACTGAAGAAGACCGCCAAAGCCCAAACAGCTCTCTGTTCTGGTGGGTTTGGGACTTCGGGGGCTGGAACTCACACTGGTCAATCAGGTCGGCAGCACCACCTCTGACTGCGGAGTCCGTGCTCTTCAGCTGCAGGTAGCACCAGGAGAGCAGGCTGCCCTGGACGGCCCAGAACAGGGAGAACAGCACAGAGCCAGTCTCCCCGTGGGCCCCCGTGAGCACCAGCAGTCCACACTACAAGAAGCAGACGGAGAAAACTTTGTTCACGGCAAGGGCAGAACACAGAACACAGGCATGGGCATTCTCGGACAGCAACCGTCACCGGCTAAGAAAGAGCTCTCCGTGTTTCAAACGCGACCGAGGGAAACGGCAGGTGAAAGCTCCTCTCTCACCCTCCAGCTTTCCAGAGGCTTCCCAGATGGCTTTTACTGCACGCATCCTCCCCTTCTGCCCCTTAGGGGTCTTATTGCACCAGCAACCCCCTCTCTCTTACACCTGCAAACCTCCTTCCTCTCTGGCCCCTTCCCCTGAGCCTTCAACCACACCTATCCCCACCTGAAAAGTCATTTTCCGCCCTTCTGTGGCTCCCCAGCCATCAGCTTTGTTCTCACCTGACCTCTAGGGGTAAATTTTTGCACAAAAGAACCACAAGATACGTTCCTACCATGATTTCCATGTAATTGCCCCCACCTGGAAACAGCCCAATTGCCCCTCCAAAGTAAAACGGATACACGGTGGCAGGTTCACAGGGGAATACCGCGCACCACCAACAACAAACCGACTGCGGCACGCGTGTCCGCATGGACGAGCCTTGAAAACGCCACGGACTGGAAGACTGTGCACCACGTGACCAGGCCAAACAAGCCTGCTGCGCAGGAAAAGCCAGAGAGAAAAGACCGACGTACACCTCACAAGGGCAGCTGCCTCCGGGGAGGAAGGCACGCGGAGTGGTGGGCAGGGGACTTCAAGAGCACGCGGACTGCTCTGTACCTGCACTCTCTGGAACGTGAGCTCCGCTGGACAAAGCTGCCTGCAGCCGCTCTGTGCCGCCGTCCCGCCTCTCCTGCCTCACCACTCACCGACACCGGTCCCCGAAGGCACCGGCTACCACCTGAGAACAAAGCCTCACCACTTAACTGTAACGTCAGTGGCTCTCCCGAGCACTGAACGTCCTGAAACTCTCTCCTCCCTGGGCTTCCGCCTCCAGGGATTCCTTGCTGCCACTCCCATCTTTCTGGTGAGACGTCCCCCAGATGCCCACGGGTGAGGAGGGGGCACCGCAGTCGCGGCTTCAACTCTCAGCTGTTCGTCACCGGCTGCAAAATTTCCAGCACCGACTCAGCTCCTGAGTATCCTGGAGCTCCTGCCACCTCAAGTCCTCCCAGAGCCATAAAGTCAGCGTGCCCACAGCCATTCTCCTCGTCAAATACTGCCTCTCCCCATCTTGTCCCTGGCCTTTTGCACATGTGTGAGCGTGGACGGTGGCAGAAATAAAGACAGATGGGAGTGAGGCATGGCTAACAGGGCTCAGAGCAAATACTGATGAGCAGTAGACTGGAGCAGGAGTTTCCAGGAAGACAGAGATGGGCCAGACAGTCTGGGAAGGAGACAGAAAGCAGAAGGTAGCCAGAGAGAACATGAATGTCACAGCAGCGATAGAGGACACAGGCTTCCAGTGGGACAGAGACGACCCTGGACTGCAAGTCATACTAGGTCTGCACAGTGGCCAGCCCACAGGGTGACCCTGGCAAATGAGAACCTGGCACTCTCGAAGCTGTCTCCCTAAGAGCAATGCAGCCAGGAATGCATGAAATCGTGGCTCCAGCAGCAACCTGAAAACGGTAAAGCACTGACAGGAAAAAAAAAAAGGAAAAGACTCAGACACTCAAGTTCAGACACAGAAGAAGTTATCGTCAAGTCACCGTCACTCCACGCCTCAAGCGTGTGGTCTGGCCTGGCCCACTGTCCCCCCCCGCCCCAACCCGGTCCATGTTCTGTCCAGAGAGCAGCCCTTGGTGCCCTAGTCACGGGGTTCTGTCACGTCAGAGTCCCAGGGGTGTGCGGTGGAACACAGACTCAAAATCCTGTCCGAGAGGTTCTAAACCAGGAGCCTGGGGTGGGACCCAGAAACCCAAATTTCTGTCCAAATACACCAGATGATTCTGATCCACCTGACACATGGACTACATCTTGAGAAACAGAATCCTTCATGTTAAAAAAATAAAGTAAAAATTTGAAAATATTAGCACAGACAAAAGACACTATCTTTTCAGACTCGATTAGCCTGTGGGTTTACTAAGTAATCTTAAATTTTAAAAAAGCTAAAGCAGTTTTCCACAGAACTCACAGCACAGACACAGGCCTAAGTGCTGGGCTCGCCAACCTGCACCCCAGGGGACGTGGCAAAGACCCCTTCCTCCTTCCCAGAGGAATGAACGTGTCCACACGTTTACGGCTTGCTGACTAGCAGGGGACTGGCCCCAGGAGCGGGTGACCAGGAGCCACGGCAGACCGTTGAGAGTTGCTGCCCACCTGGAAGGGCCACGGGGACAAAGCTACATCACACTGTGGCTAACAAACAGGGGCGGCGCCCGCTATTGCTGGATCAGGAGGTGAAGTGAGCGAGGCTAACAGGGGCAGTGCCCGCGATCGCTGGATCAGGAGGCGAAGGGAGCGAGGCTAACGGGGGCGGCGCCCACGATCGCTGGCTCACGGGGTGAAGGGAGCGCAGCGGCCGCCAGTTACCTCTCGAGCAGCGACGGACAGGAGGGTGCTCATGACCGCCAGCACTTCGCTGCTGTTCATGTCGGCCAGGTCACCTTTCTCAGGCAAGAGCAGAAGGCCACCCGGATCCTTATCACTGAAAAGACACAAATCTGTCACGACTCCTTGTTTCAGGCAGGGCATGCTCATGCTTTTGTCTTAAAAGTTTCCAAAAAAGAACCCAGCAAGATTTCAGTGCCAGTTCTATGGGTTGTGGAGGAGACTGGGTCAGGAAAAGGTCCAGGTCCCAGCTGAGTCTGGGCCACTGTCTGTCCCCCATGTCCTTAGTAAGCTCAGGCCTGTAAACCCTCAAGTCCTTAGAAGAGACTCTGAGAAGTCAATCTGATGACTACATCACCTTGACCGCCAAGAAGAAATACACCTAATCTCACGCTGGCTAATTTGACAATCCAGGCTGAACACTCAAACGCTCCCCACATGAGCTCTGAGGCTCTTTCATCGCCCCTGATACTCGAGTCCAGACCCATTTTAGAGACCTCCAAGTCTGCTCTCGCACTAGGTACAGCCTGACGTGCAGACAGGAGCTTGGGCTATTTGTTCCCTCCCTTCTTCGAGAGCCTACACCTCTGGTAACGCAGCCTACAGGCCCATTAGCTGCTCTGCTAGCCAAAGCATGTAAAAATCTCAAGTCATCCCCTCCCAGCACACTTCCTTTGCTGAACTACCATTCTGTGCTTCTGGGTTTTCAGACTTGAGTACAGGACACCAAGCTCCTCTGGCTTCAGTTTGGGTCTTCAAGTATCACTTAGAAGCTGAAGTGCTCCAAGAGCTCCTCAGCGGGTCCTATTCGAAACGGTCTCATGAGGACTGGGCCTTAGATTAAACTCCTGGCAAGATCAGTACTCCACCACTGCTGTAGTCATTCCTGTGACCAGCGGCATCTCCCTCTAGAAAGCTGGCTGAGCAGAGGGGACGGCTAGCTAAAGAAAACTTTGCAAAGATGTGAAATATTAGAGGGCCGAAAAGCACCATAAACTTACCTAAAATACGTGCACAGTGAACGGAAAGTGAGCTGCAGGGACTGCTTGTGCTCCTGCTCGGTGACGTTCTTCTAGAAAACAACGGAGTGCACAATCAGAACACCCGTTCCACGACATTCCGGAGCCTGGGGCAGCATGACATGCCACTGCCCACTGTTCCCAAGCGTGAGGAAAGCTGGGGTTGGCCCACGCTTCACGGCACCCAACTGAGACTGGCTTGGTGCTCGGCGGGGGCAGGACCACCCGCCTAAACAAAAGACGGCAGGTTTACTTGGGTTCACTGCTAAAGTTCCCATGTCCAAGCTTTCCTGCAGGAAATCTTGATACGAATGTTTAGGAGGATGTGTACTTTTCATCACTGGGCACAACATCGCAAGAGGAAAGGGCAGGAACAGTGCCTTTCTTGTGAGTTTTCTCCTGGTTTTTAAATAGGACCTAAGCTTTCCCAACATAAGCCAGAGCAACCTGGAGTGACAGTTACAGGGATCACATCTCCTGACGAGGCTCCTGGGCTACTTCAGGGGCACTTTCCTAATTCAAGAAACGTACCAAACATTGGCTGTTAGGCAAGGCACAGAAGAGGATTTCCAGAGTATTTGAGGCCCAGGGCCCCGCCCGGCACAGGAGGAGGGGAGACACAAGATATGCCGTTCAAGTCATCAGCATGAGCAGGGAAAATATAACCCTACCACCGCTGTCAGCAGGGACCGGCAAAGGGAAAGTGACGGGGCTGGTAATAGATAGCAATGCCATTCGAGAGCTCATATGTCCTTTTCCATTCTTCCGTATGGAACACGTGCTAGCAAAACAAATCACTGCTTAGCGGCCTGGTAAACGCTTCTGGTAAACAAGCAAGATGGGAGTCCCGCCCACAGTCCAGTGGATCAGGCCAGCGGATGCTTCCAAGGTCATGACTCTGTGTGAAAACTGATCCTTCAGGCTGACGTGCAAATTTTGCAGAGAGCTGAAAACAACCGAAGATCCTTCCCCCTCTCTGAAACCATCCGCAGTCACTTGGCCCCAGCACGAGTCTCCTCTACACGCATCTGCGGTTTTTTCTTGTGGCAGGTGTCCCCAGCTGGACTGTAGTCCTCTGGCACCAGAGACCACATTTTATGATTTGCTTCCCTCCTTTCTTTCTATGCATCCCACAGAGACTTTATTACATTTGCTAATTAGCTGCCGCATTTAGAAATGCTTTCTTTAAATGCCGGATCTAGTTTTCATCAAACTCCTATCAGTAATTCTACTACATGCTTGTCTACGGACAATAAAAAACAATCTATAACCATATCACCTATAAAGTATTATTTATTTTATCCTTTCCAATTATCATGTTTAAAATTTCTCTTCCTTGTCCTACTGCACTGGCCAGACCCTCTAACACGACCTCCCGGAGTAACAGCAGCCAATAAGCATCCTTGTCTTCCTCTTCATTTTGAGAAGGTTGCTTCTAGGATCCACCATCCAGCATATTATTTGTTAAAAGTCTGGGGCACACCCCCTCCACCAGATTGAGGGAGCTCCTTTCTGCTTTGAGTTTGCTAATGGTTTTATAGTTTTAATCATCAAAATTTAATCCTACTTAAATGTTTTCTGTATTTATTGAAATAACTTTTTCCTCTGACTTCATTTACTAATTTTCTAATGTTAAACCAGCCTTGTATTCCTAGGGTAAATCCAACTCAGTCAGGACTTTGTATTTTACTAGACCGGTTTACTAATATTTTGCTAGGCTTTTCTTACAATGTTTACAAGTAAGACTGGCCTGTAATTTTCGCTTCCTTGTTACCCTTTATTTATGTTTCCCTGTGTTGTACCATCACTGGAACACTGGGAACTCTGAAGCTCCCTGACCTAGATGTTTTCGGTGTGGCTTACAGAGAGAAATTCTTTTTTAAGATTTTAATAATTTGAGAAAGAGAAAGCACACGCCCATGCATGTGCGCATGGAGGGGGATGGGCCAGGAGAGGGACAAGCAGACTCCGTGCTGAGCACAGAGCCCGACCAGAGAGAGAAACTTTTGTTCTTACATTATCATTAATATCTTTCTCCATATATCACAGTCATTTTCACACAGAAATACTGCCTTCAGAATTAAAAATCTGGATCTCTGTACAGGATATTCCACTTGGTAACATAATGCTTATAAATACTGAAAGCATTTTTCACCCACCACTCCTAATGTCTGAGTGACAAGAAGGGGTCTGCGAAGGCTGCATTCCGTTACAGATATAATCTGAGATATTTATGAAATAATACCGGGGGAAGGGCAGGGAGACAGTGGATGAGGCAGATCACAGATGAAACAAGATTCGCCCGAGTTTACAACTGCCAAATCTACGTGATGGGTACATATGGGGCAGGAGGTATTCTATTTACTCTAGTCTTGTATTTGTTTTATATTTCCCCATAATAAAAAGTGAAAATGTTAAAAAGAATGCTTGGTTGCAGGCAAATCATGAAGATGATGGGGAGACCATACTCCCCCTTTGTAAGACTAGGGGCTACGATCTGCCATCCCCTCCTTAAGGGCGGTGCTGGGTCCTCGGGCGTCTGTGTCTCACACCGAACTCTGCATACAGAGTGTTAAGTACACATCTGGAAAACTGAAACTGAGGAGATAGTCAGAGAAAACAGAGACTAATAAATGAATGTCATCCCACCAGACTTCAGGAATGGAGCCCGTCCTTCTGACGTGAATGATTACCATCATGGCGAAGAGATGGCTCCGCCGGGTCTGTCGGTCAGGAAAGAAGACAGCAGCCCCATTGAGAAGGGTATTCCTGACTTCTTGTTTTAATGTTTCCATGGGCGCAGAGTCTCCATCCACCCTGTCCACCACTGAGGGAAACGAACAATGGAATCAGCTTTAGCATTTCCCATCCACTCACTCACAACATATGTATCCGCTTTCACTAGCCCATAAACTCACTGCTCCCCGTCGTGTAGTGAAAGCCTCTACAGCCAAGGCGGTATAAGGAAACAACACTGAACCAACATAAGCACTATATGTACCAGTTTTCATTTCATTACTTCCTTCTGAGCCGCAACTGGGCAAAGCCTTAAAAGTAACTTCACGTGTTCGTGTGTTTTATTCCCCGTGTATCATTACCTCTCTCCCCTCCCTCCCGTCCCAGTGTCTTCTCTACAGTAAGGACTGAAGAATGTGACAGTCACCACTCTCCCTGTGACACATCTGTGCTCAGAAACCAGGAGGAAGAGGTGCTGACAAGAGAACAAATCCTGAAGTCAAAATAACAATTCAAAAGGAGATCCAAGGAAACACTCATTTTCCCACGCAGTGATCCCTCTCCTGAGCCTGCATGATCGTAGGATCCCTGTTCTTACAGCAAGAGGCCTGGCAGGCTACCAGCACAGGGTCATATTCAAGAAAAGCCCAGGGGCGCCTGGGTGCCTCAGTCGGTTAAGCGTCTGCCTTTGGCTCAGGTCATGATCCCGGGGTCCTGGGATCGAGTCCCGCGTCGGGCTCCCTGCTCAGCGGGAAGCCTGCTTCTCCCTCTCCCTCTCCCTCTGCCCCTCGCCCCCCTTCTGCTCTCCTGCTCTCTCTCTGCGTAAGATAGACAAATCCTTTTTACAAAAATAAAGAATAAAATACAAAAATAAAGACAAGCCCAATGCCTACCGTCGCATAAGTGTGTGTGGAGCTCCTTGGCGGCCCCTGCCCCTCCCGGGCTCTGCCGGGGTGCCTTTGCCCCCCCTGAAGCGGCCGGCCCGTCTCTCTGCAGCACTGAGAAGCAGCTCTGCAGGAGCCGCAGAAGCAGGGTTTGGGCGCAGAGGCACTCTTCCCTCGGGCTACGGAAAGACAACGAGTATCAGAGAGCACGACGGCAGGCTGCTTGGACCCTCCAAAGCCAACAGCTGTCTAAAAAGGACTCTCGTCTACACAGCAGGCTCGGTGTGTAGGAGGCCAAGGAGAGGAAGAGAGGCAGAATGAAAAGAACATCGTACTGGGCAGAGTCTGAAAACACAGACCCTGCCTGAGTCTGCCCACAGTGGGGCAAGGACACACGTTTCCGATCCTGTTTCTTCATCTATAAAACGAGGGCACTACCACAGTGCTTGACCTGCTTTCCCCACCAGGTTGTGATGAGAATCAGACGACAAAATGTTTGCAGCAACATTGCCCGGAGTACGTTACGGAAACGTGAGATGTTATCTTCAATAATAACCAGTTCTCTCAAACGAGAACAATATAAACTAGTGAGAAGTCAAAACATCTTACAAGGAAAAAAGGTCTATTTGGAATGTAAAACTTAGTGTTTTCAGTTTTGTTTATATGATTATCACCTTATAACAAATTCTGACCTACTTTTGCTTTAATTTACTGTAAAAATTCCAGAAGATCTGCAAATCAAGACCGGCGAAGTCCAGAAAGGATTTATATCTTAAGCCACTTTCCTTCTGCTGCACCTAAAAAATCATAAAAACCAGAAAAAAATAAAGTGGAAAATGCATTTAAAGAAATATTGTGATGGCTCATTTACTCCTCAATGTGAAAGGGTGTAGGATTCCCATATGGCCGATGCTGACTCTCACCAACTCAGAAGTGCATGAACCACTATTCCTGGTGTGAGACTTTCTACAGGATGTGCGTGCGTATGTGGATGTGAGAAAACGTGTGTGTAAACGCACGCACACACACACACACACACACACACCCCCACGAGGACTCCCCGACTCCATACACACCACACCCGGGACACCAGCAAGACGACAGGGCCACGTGCTCTGACCCTCACCTGCCTGAATCCTGCCCCAGCGCCCCCGCGGCTCCGAAGCATCCCACCCACCCCCGTTTATGTTTTCTACTGTGACAGGAGAGCTTGAATAACACAGACCAAACAAACCAGAGTTAAATTGAGTCACAGCCTCTAAACTCGCCCTGATGCAGAACTGCTGCCTTCCCCATGTGGGAGGGCGAGACGCCCCACCGATCCCTGAGCTAAGCCATGTTCTCTATGGTGATGTGGCGAGAATCTTCCCCGGAGCCAGCGGTCACCGTGTTTTTATTGGTGACTGTACAAGTCCGTGTCAGGAACACAAATGATTTTAAATCCTGACATTCTGGTACCTTTAGGGAGGAAACAGAATTCACCCGTACCTCAGAAATAATTCTCCCCGGACTTAAGGGAGACGGAAATCCCATAAACTTGCTCGGTCTCCCTAGACTACCACCGGCAACCACAGCGGGGGTCTTCGTGGTCTGTCTGTAGGTCTATTCCGGGGAGCCTCACTCTGACGGCCACACGCCAAACGGTCCCCCAGTGACTGACACCACGGATGCCCAGCACCTCCCTCCCCATCATCACAGCAGCGTGAAGCCAGCCACACATGTCCCTACCGCACGGCTCGATAGGGCCCGCTTTCACCGGCGGCTGTTCACTTCCCTCAACACCACCATTAATTGTCCCCAAAGGAACGAGGTACCAGGTCATGGGCGAGCTGCTGAATGAACTGAAGTGTCCTGAGGAGCAGGGTGGCCCCACAGACGCTCTCCTCCCCGTCCTTCCTGCAGTGGGCACAGACGACGTGCTGTTCCGCTTCGGCTCGCACAGGCCGGAGGTACCCGCTGATGCTGAGGCCTTGCACGCCCAAGCGCTCCGCCGACTCCTGACGGGTGCAGAGGAACTTCACCATCAAGTACTAGAAAGGACAGAGAGATTTGAGGAGAAGGACTCAGAAGCCGGACTATGAATGGAAGGGAGATAAAGGCCTTTCTGGGAAGGTCCCCCTATGACTTTAATGACTTATTAGGTCTCACTCTGCCTGGCATGGGGCACGAAAAAGAAGTCCAACATCTCAACAAATGGGGAAAAAACACTCGTGCCGATTCAAGTCAGGTTCTGGGAAAGATCCCAATAAGAGAAATGGCATTACCCCATCTTCAGGGCAAACGCAGGGTAAGACAGGATGAAGCAGAGAAGTGTGTCTGCTCTGTGGCCCAGTCATTTTGAATCAGAAATCAGGTCTAGGGTGAAAACAGTCAACAACTGTCGCAAAGCTCCCAACTAGTCTATACCACCCACAGCCCAGGACACTGCGCCGTCTGCTCGAGGCCAAAGCCATCTGAAAGCCCACCTGCTATGCAAACTCTCTGCTTCTTACCGTGGAAGCTCCTCTGCCAAGAGCCACTCAGACCCCACTACTCAGATGCATAAATACTTACTGAATATCTACTACCTCTAAGCCCAGAAGATAGTTCTTACTTCTCTTACTGCAGCTTCTTACTAAGAGGGACACTAAGCATGTGAAAGAAATAAAGTGGCCAGACAATCACGGTTTCCCTCACAGCCATGGACACACATCTCTCGTGCACTCGGGCCAGCGTGTTTCCACTCTCCCCGCTGCACGCACCCTTCCCCACACGTCCTAGCCTGGCTGCGGGTGACGACTCATCGACCTCCAACCCCTGGCAGCACACCGCCTTTCCTGGGAAGCCTTCCCCAGTGACCTGCGGGCCGGGTGAGACGTGCTTCCTCTGGGCGGCCGCAGCCCCCGTGTGTGCTGTACTGGGGCGTCTCCCGCTGGACCACGGCTCCGTGAGGGTCACCGTCACGGCTGACTGGCCTCCAGGGCTGGCTCCGGGGCTGGCCCGGGGCTGGCGCATACGACCCACTCCGTGAAGACGGACAGGGCAGAAGGAGGGAGTGGGCAAATGTGGGAAGGCCACCACTCGCTAACGCTTACTTGGGCAACCCTGCAGTGCTGCAACTTCACGTCTGCTTCATCCCACTCTTCTTCCAGCTCAAACCAGCCAACGGGGTCATCCTCTCCAAGGTCATCAGAGGAGCAACCAACCCTGCAAACACAATGGTGATCACAAAGCACCGTCCTCTTCCTAAACTTCTCAGGGGTCTCACGAGCAAGGCACCATCTGAGCGGCGTTAACTCGGATGGATGGGTGGCCGGCAGCGAACAGCCAGGGACCGGGTGTGGCCCTGCAGCCTCTAAGCACAGGAAGTAGTTGCTGGTGACTTCCTCCCGTTCCTCAGCCCCCGTATCTCTGACGTGGGAACTAGTGTCAGTTCCAAATACAATGTGGGAACTAAAGAGAAAGTTTGCTTCTCTAGGTAACTGGCATATTTGAAGAATGAGACATGAAAGCGAGGCATCTTAGATGACTCAGGAATAAGAAACAACGCAACAACCGTTGTGCGCTTCCAGAAAGATCCAAAGGAGAGGCAGGTTCAGTTTCTTTCCCTAGGTCTGGCTACTCTACGTATGCCCAGCCTGAGGTTCGGTGCACTTACGACAGCTGAAGGTTAAGAGCAGGGAACTTTCAGATCCTGGAGCTCCAAAAAGGGAAACTTCAGCCTCCGCATTTTCTCCTGCTCCTTGAAAGGTCCTTCCAGGAAAGCATCTCAGCCTCAAGGCTAAAGTAGCACAACCCCAGCCACTTCTTTTTAAAAACTAGACACTCCCGCTTCAGCAAGTAAATAACCAAAGGAGAAAAAGGCAGTCTTTTCAAGTAACATTCCTAAAACTTTCCACTACTTAATCTGTGATACAGCTATAGCAAGCTAGCAACATGGGAGTATTCTGCATGGATAAGCAAACGCGGGCCTCCGTGCAAGAAGATTAAGGATCCAGAGTAGGTTCTGCAACAGCAAAAAAAATGTTCTCTTCTTAAGACTTTATTAGCATCAATCTCTCATGACATAATGAATCCTAAAGTCAACAGGACGGGAGGTATTCGGTCCTAACCCAAAACCATGTCAATGAGTTTCATCAACACCGTGTTTGAAGATGTTTTAATTTGCCCTGCGGCAGCCGTCAACAACTCTTTGAGAGGGAGAGACCGCTGGCCAGGTGTCAGGGCGCAGAGAGGCAAGCTCACTCACTACACCACACAGCAGAGGGCAAAAAAGAGAGCTGAGCGTGCGTCCTCCTGAGTCTGCACAGCAGTCGCTCAGCTGGCTGGGAGCGTGCGGACTGACCATCATCTGGCCAGAAGGACAGGAGAGAGGGAAAAAAAAAGGGAAGAAGATAGATGCATGTACAGTAACAATTTGATTTCCAAACTGGAGAGAGACGGTAACATGCAGGCCAACCACACCAGGATTTCAGAGTAGTTCAGGCTGGAAGCAGAAGCTAAAATCAGCAAGTAAGCAGCGAACAGACCTACACCTAGATCAAAAGAAAATCCTACATAAGATGTGAAAGATCTTATTTAACAGATTTAGGGAAAAAAATTTTACTTTAATACGTCCCAAGAATGGGATAGAGCTGCTTAAAAACAAGGGTAATCTCTAGTTACCATCAAAAAAAAAAAAAAAAAAAAGGATCTTTTAGGGGCGCCTGGGTGGCTCAGCTGGTTAAGCATATCTGCCTTCGGCTCAGGTCACGATCCCAGGTTCCTGGGATTGGGTCCTGCATTGGGCTCCCTGCTCCGTGGGGAGCCTGCTTCTCCCTCTGCTCCCAGCTCCTGTCCTCTCTCACGATCTCTCTCTCTCTCAAATAAATAAATTCTTAAAAAAAAAAAGGGGGGGGGCATCCTTTAAGAAGGCATATATACGGTGGGGAGGGAGATTTTAGGAATGAAGGAGATTTGTTCCAGTTCATGTAGAGGGTTGGAATTACAGCTGTAGATTTCAACTGAACATGATCTACCCCTGAAGTGCAGTGAGTTCTCCATCGTGAGGAGTGTTCTGGAGACTGAATGACCATCTGTGGTCATTCAGTCTCACGGATGACCATTCTAGCAGCATCCGTGAAGACATGTTTTAATTTGTTCGTAGATTCTTCACTCAGTCCCTTCCGTGAGCGGGTGCACACATCTCCAGGATGGCTGGGTACTGACACACGCCTGGACTGTCTTCAGTCTTACCTAGCCACTGGGAAGTTTATCGGAATGCCACCAGAGGACAACCAGCAGACAGAGGGAGTTATTCTAGATCTGTGCTACTCGAAGTGTGGTCCGCAGGTGGGAACATCAGTCACCTGAGAGCTTCTCACAAGTCACAGTCTACACCCAGAACTACTGAATCAGAATCCACGTTGAACACAGTCCTCGGTGACGTGGGTGCCGGTAAAGGGCGGCACGGTACCAGATGACGGCTGAAGGCCTCCCCTGTCACCCGAGACAGTGGCACAATCAGCAAGTCCCGGGCTCAGCTCGGTGAGTTTTAACTTGCTACTACGAATGTGGGAGGCAACGCTGCCCGAGGCTCACCAATGACCTCGGGCTGAATCCGACAGGTCCACTCGCAGACTTTATCCAAATGACCCTGGGTAACATCTCATCCCGCTGCCCGCTCCCCACTTCCTTTAACATCACCCCCCTTGGCTTCATGATGACACACAGGGGACTTCCTGCTGCCTCACTGGCTGTTTCTCAGCCTACTTTTTTCTCTGTGGCCCTTTAAATGCTGGTGCCTCTCAGCTGATCTATAGGGTCTCTCTTCTCTTCCCAGCCCACATACTCTTCCAGAAAAATCTCACTTTAATTATCCTTCAAACGTCTCTCCTATTGGTACCTTCAGTACCTCCTCCAGGTTCCAACGCATTCATCCAAGGAGCTGCCAAGTAGCTCAAAGTCTTCCGAGACCTCAAATTCAACAGGACCAAAACTGAGCTTAGCAGCTTCCCACAGACTGTTTTCCCAAGTTAGTTTCTATCAGAGAAGGGCACTCCCAGTGTCCCCACCTGCCCCAGCCAAAATCCCAAGCCTCCGCAATGCCTACACCATCCTTCCTCCTCTGCTCTGCACTCAGTCACTGTCTGGTGGTCTCTCCGTCAGTGACCACCTCTCCATCGCTGCCAGGGCTGCTTAGCCGAGGGGACCCAGGCCTCTGGCCGCCTCCTCTCTTTCCATCCTGCCTCCATGCTGGCTCTCCCCTGGCCACACAGCATGATCCAGAACAGTACTTGTAAAACACACATCTGGTCTCCTCGTTCTTCTCCCTGAAGTTCCTCAACACTATACTGTCCCCCCACCCTGGCTTAAAGGATGCAGTCCAAGCCCTGAGCCAGAGACAGAAAGACCTTTAGTGACTGGGCCGCTTCCTGGCCCTCCAGCTCCATGTTCCCCACTCTCCACCTGGCAGTAACTTCTGCACTTGCAGGCCCCCGAGCCTGCCGTACTTCATCTACAAGTGCTTGCTCAAACCTGCTCTGCTCTTTGCTCAGGATCTCTCCTTCAACTGTACATCATCCTTAGCTCTTACCACAAACAACACTCCCTCCGGGGTCTTTCCTCCCAGAGCCCCCACCCCTCCTGCCCAGTGCTGACAAGACTGTGACACTGCTGGTCTGAGAGGACAGTAAGCAGCACGGAGCAGGGACTGTGCCGACCTGTTCACTGTGTCTCTTCTGCGCCGAGCATCAGGCCCAGTGCAGAGTGGGTGCTTAAAAATACCTCCAATGAAAGCATGATTAGGAGGAGGAAGGTCGGGGCATCGATAAACTTCCCAGTGGCTAGGTAAGACTGAAGACAGTCCAGGCGTGTGTCAGTACCCAGCCATCCTGGAGATGTGTGCACCTGGTCACGGAAGGGACTGAGTGAAGAATCTACGAACAAATTAAAACATGTCTTCACGGAGGCTGCTAGAAAGCAATGAATGCTCATGGCCACTGAGGATGGGCTGGGGCACCACTTCTATGAACACACGAAAGCATATTTTGCCAAGAAGAAAATGCATTCAGCCTTATTAACTACAAAGATTTTTATTCCGTTCCTTACCTGCTTTTTACAAATTGCCTGAATTCCTGAAGCTTCCATTGGTCATATTTTTCAAACCTTTTGAAGTGTTCTTCTGCATGGAATTTATCCGAAGGTGAGTTATAGGCAAACACCAACCCACACTGGGCACCGATGCCACCACGTCGAACCTAAAAGCAGAGATCTAGCTCAAGCACATGGAAGGTACAGAAGTCCTGTGGCTGTTGTGTTCCCAAGTAATACAGTTAAGTTCAAAGAGCTTAAAGCAAACCTAACCAACAGAATGATATTTAGTCCTAGAAAAATAAAAACACTGCTTCCTAAGCAGCGATCCCTTGCATTCACACATCCCCAGACAACCATCTACTCATCTCTGTGTCCCTGCCCTCTGCTACAGGCCTGGCACAGAATGGTCACAACATGGGTGACGGAAACCCGTGACAGGCTCTGAAATGGAATCCCAGTTTTAAAAATCGCAGTAACGTTGCTTAAAGAAGGTAGTAAGAGAATTACCATAATTCTGATCTGTGTAACTTGGAATGCAGATTCAGTTCCTGTAGAAAAAATGGTACTTGCTCTGGTCTTTCCAGTCTCTGTAAGAAACCCTGCAAAAGGTAGACAGTGAAGTGAGGATAACCGACTCATTTGTCATAACCCGAAGAACTCACAGAGACCAACCAAACACACCGGATCCTTTGTGTGTGGCGGGGGGTAACTAGTCTATCTGGTATTTTCATAAGAATCAGAAAAAGATTTCCCCTCCGCACAGGTGTGAGCTCACTGCCAACGCCTAGGTAACAGACCGTGGCTAGGTGCAGACAGCACACTGTCTTCTCAACCACACCGGCAGCCCTGCTCTGAGGTAACAAGAAAGACAAATAAAGTTCATAAAGACTGTGACTTAAATTCAAACAGACAAAAGACCTGACAACCAACTGTCTCTCTGTGCCATTCCTAAAACCATGCCTGATGCTTGACTGGGCAGACAGAGGCACGCAGGCCTAGAGGACAGACGACAGAGGGATGACAGAACTTCCAGAAGACTCTGTCAAGAAAGACTGTGCAAGACTCTAAAATGGGCAGAAAAGATGGCTGGGTGTTTGTTCCGCTGAGCACACTCTGTGGACTATCTCCACCTTTCGCTGTGAGCTATTTTACAACTCTGTAAACCGTAGAGTCAAGACGGTAATGCAGACGGTTCCTGCCCGCAGAAAATGCAGCTGATTATTCTCTTTTTTTTTTTTTTTTTTTTAAGATTTTTATTTATTTTGACAGAGAGAGTACAAGCAGGGGGAGAGGCAGGCAGAGGGAGAGGGAGAACCTATGCGGGACTCGATCCAGGACCCTGACTGAGATCACAACCTGAGTCAAAGGCAGACGCTTAACCATCTGAGCCACCTAGGCGCCCCAATGCAGCTGATTATTCTTCATGAATGTTGACCAATTTTTGTATCTATCTGTGGATTCCTGTGGGCACTCTTACCGGTCTATGTGTATTTCATGCATTCTCTTTTGAACTGTTTATAACATCTTACTGGTCCCTCACTAATTAACGAGATAAATAAAAAGTGTAACTGTTCATTTTTCATTTGTATCAAAGTCATGGTTTACCTCTTTTGTTGTTGTAAATTCACAAAAAGGTCTGCTGCTAGACCCAAGGCCGCCTTTCTCTTTCAAACCTCTGTAAATGATAAAATTCACACACATGCCCCCATCAGCACCAAACAACCACTCATCCTGGAACCATGGACGGCCCTCAACCGTTCTGCCTGCTCAAGATTAAACCCGCTTCATGCTGCTGCTTTCATTATACCGAACTCAATAAACAAAACTGATGAAGTTGAATCTCCATAAAACAATATGCAAAATGTGTCACCAAAACCAAGAAAATTAAAACCAAAGGAACACTGACTAGTTACAGAGAGAAGCTACGGTAGGATCTAGTTCCATCAAACAGTAATTATGTCCTCAGTTTTAAGAAGCCACACGGTCAGGAATTCACACAACTCGGCTAACGGTAAGACTAATCTATCCAGCCCACTCTCCGGTGCGCTGAAGGTCTGCCCAGGTTAACTGACCACCAGCATTTGTCATTTGTCTCAAAGTAGCTAAAGCAATTAACCGAATCAAAAGAATCACTCTTTAAATGACATTGCTACCAAACACACATCTAAAGGTTTTTTCTAAAGGCCAAAATAAATATATAAACAAAGCCTAAAAGGTAAGTAAAACTTTGTTCTTCCCTTTCTCGGTAAAAAACAAAAAAGAGCTCATGTGATGCCCTAAAGCTCCCTCTGTCTTGATACTGCACCCCTCCCCCCCAATTTATTCTCTTCAAATGACAGTAAAGAAAATAACCAATCACAGATTAAAGAACCCCTTCAGTGTATGGGCAGCATGCTGCATCCCTTTCAAACACCAGACAGGAAAGCTGGGCTCCTGAGGGTCAATGTGTGGGTCGCCTGGGCACTCACTGTGCAGCAAGAGGCACCTCTCCAGAAATGACACTTCCGGGCACCTGGGGAGCGTGAAGCACAACCGTGCAAAGAGCTATCCCCTCCCCCGCCCAAGGGAAGGAAAGCAATCCCTCCTCTAGACCCAACTGTTCTGGCTGTGAGCATTTCCCCTGCCCCACCCATCGCCTCAGGCTCATTTTTCAGCGGCGATGGCTGTGGAGGGAGTGACCAGGAGAAACCGAGTCTCCTCCCCAGGCCTACGCACGTCCCACCTGTGCGCCTGTAGGAAATACAACCAACATAACCCACAAACTACAACTACTTTACAAGATCCATCCACCCGAGGGAAGCGGAAGGCAGGGAGGGGAGATGGGCAGATGAGACACAGGGAGAGTAACAGTATTCGATTCTCATAGCTACAGAAAAATCTGCAGCTATGGACTTCCTTCTGGACTTTGAAGAGTGTTACAAATCCATATACCATTTTTTAAGATGGTGAAAATACTCTGTATGGTATCATAACGATAGATTCATGTCATTACACATTTGTTTAAACCCCCAGAACATACAGCATCAAGAGTGGACCCTAAAGGGGGCACCTGGGTGGCGCAGTCCGTTAAGCACCCAACCCTTGGTTTCGGCTCAGGTCGTGGTCGTGGGATCCAGCCCCATGTCAGGCTCTGCACTCAGCACGGAGTCTGCTTAAGACTCTCTTCCCCTCTCGCTCTGCCCCTCCCCCTCACGCACGTGCGCTCTCCTCTCTCTCTCTCTCTCTCCCCCCTCTCTCTCTCTCTCTCTCTCTCGGACCCTAAGGTAAACTGTGGACTTTGGGCGATTATGAAGTGTTGCCGTACGCTTGTCCATGGTAAGAAAATGTCTCCCTCTGGAGTGGTGCTCACAATGGGGGAGGCTGCACGTGTGGGGGGAATGTGTTATACGGGAACTCTGTGCCTTCCTCCGATTTTGCTATAAACCTAAAACTGCTCTAAAAAAAAGTCTTAAAAAAGAAAGAATAGATGGAGACATGCTTTGAAATGGTGATATAAGTAAAAAATAAAATAAAAATAAAAAGCTAAAATAAAACAAAAGAGAGGCTTTTCAGTGGATGATGATGATGAGAGTACAAATCCATCAACATGTTTTGGGAAGGGTCTGCCTTACATGCTCTGGAGACAGAAACCCTGACTCTCCAGAGCGTGAAGGAAGAATGCAGGGGCCTCTCGCAGAGTGGTCTTGCCTTTCCTGGTTGGGGGTTGGGGTTAGGGCACGTGACGGGGGGAGTGCGCGGCCTGTGTGGCCCCTAACGGCCCCTAGCGGGACAGGAGAGGGACGCGGTGAAGGAAACATGCCTGCAGAGACGGCGCTGCGCGGGGAGGACTGCAGCAAGAGTGTCCTGCGTAGGAGTCTATAGCACGCGAAGCCCACAGAGAGAGGAGACGCCTCGGGGAGAAGCACGAACACAGGAGACACGACAGAGAAGAGGGGACCACTGAGAACGTATGTGGTCTGCAATGCTGTGAGCAAGGCCAAGGAGAAAGCAAACCCAAAGCAGGAGGGCAATTCCTGCCAGCGTTTGATAACTACCCAAACGGTCCCCTTCCTGAGCCGAATCAGCGATGTTCTAAGCAGCGCAGTGAGCGCAAGGGGGCATGTGCAGGAGACGAACCGGCTGGCCAACGAGACGGGAGGAAGAGACTCACAGACACCCCGGGCCGAGAGAAAGAGCCCACCACCGCATGGGAGAGCTCCTCAGCAGCTACCGGGTTAACAGCAGGCAAGCAGCGAGGTTCTTCCGGACACTCCGGATCCAGAGGGGTCACACTGAGAAATACCCTTCTCCTGAAATTATGTTTTCAGCAGTATCGTGCCTCAGATCTGCTGAGTTTCTTAATGCTTTAGGGTAACACAATGGAAAAATAATCTGAATTTAAAAATGGAAACTTTTTATATTCCAAAAGGAAGAGTCCCTGCTTTTCAAAACCGAGGGCTCTCGAGTACCCATAGCAGAGTACGAGGCTGCGATAAGGATGGAACGCAGATGGTTCAAGAACCACCGTCTCGTGCAGGCCGACCTGGTGTGCAGCCCGCGAGTTCCAAGCAGTCCAAGGCCCAAGCCTCACACCGGCGGAGAGTGCGCCTCGGCCTTTCCACTCACCACACACGGACAGACCTACCACTCACCGTCTCTCGTCCACGGCTCCACAAGGAGGTTTTCAGGCCCTGACTTCTCCTCTTTCCCTTTGACATCACAGGCCTGAAGGGTCAACTGAAGAGGTTTACCTGATCAAAGAAAAGAGAGAGGATGAGAGCCTTAAGCTGGCACAGGTAAAAAATAAAAACTAGCAGGCACGTCCGTGGAAATGGAAAGCAGGTGGCCAGGAGACTACTGACGGAAAACGCACCCGTTGAAAAGCTAAAACAGAAGCTGACGCCATTCTTCTATGCTTTCCTGAAGGAGACCAAGTACGGCTTTATGTCCCTACGTGATTCCAAGAAGAGGTCTCTAGAATAACCACTCCTCAGAAACAAAGCACATTATAAGATACAAGACAAATACCACAGATTCAACATGTTTGGGAGAGGAATTCCTAAAACAGTGTTTTGGAGCCAGTAACTAATTTTATTACAATTGCATTTACATGTATAAATAATATCTTAGGGTCTAGGGTTGTGTTTCTTTAATACACCTACAGGCAAATTTTGCAAGTTTTAAGAAGTTTAAAAAGTACTGTTTGCTGTAACGACCTGAAAGCTTTTCCTTTTTCTTTCACGCTAATAATCTTTTAATGAATACCCATTAACGTATAACCAACCCGGAACTAGAACACTGCCAGTGACAAACATTCCCTCCTGCGTCCCTCCCCTATCCAGTGTTCCCTGCCCAAATAACTGCTCATCTGAATCCATAACTTTCCTGGAGAGTATTTCCCAAACACTACGTATCCCTCCCATCCAGCCATGCCTGCTATGGGCTCCCTACCCCACCAAAAAATGACCTTTTCAAATTTAAGAGGAAAACTGGATTTATGAGACATCAATTGTCGGACCTTAAAAATTACACATAAATTACTAAGTTGTATGAAGGCAAAAGAACAAATAGCATGGCAGAAACAGCACAGTTTGCCCGTTTAACTGAAGAGGATGGGATCCAAGACTGTACTTTGTGGACAAAACGTTAGTGCCAGAGGCCGGGATGGCAGATGAGTTGTTCCTCAGGTACCAACTGAGAAGGGTTAGGAGGGCCCATCCCGAGTCAGCAGGAAAGCACCAAGGGGGACGGTGGCTGGGCCCAGGGGGGCAAGGCGGTGGTGGACACACAGCTCTCAACAGGGACGCAGAGCGATGCAGTCTAAGACCAGGATGCTTTGTGCCTTGTCTGGGCCAGTTCCCTCCCTCCTCCAGATGGGAGGTACTCCAACTTCCCAACCCTCTTGGTCTACACAGAGAGACGCATCTGTACCTCATCGAAGACGGCTGTGCTCAAATGACCACCAAGCCTAAGTGGTCTGGCCGGTAAACCCCGGGAGTACAGCCCAGGGGATACTCAGAGCCTCTTCCGATGCTGCCATCAATGGGCCCACATCCCCCTTCTCCCTGTCAGCCCCTGTAGGAGAGGATATGTTCATTCCGGAATCACGGGGTAGCTACCAACTGCCCAAGGAGGTAAGAAGAAGCCAGGTTAATTACGGTGTTTTGGCTCGTCCACCGCGCCGTGCTCACTTACCGTATTTAAGGAGCAGGGTTTGCCTGACGGATGCCATGGAGGAGATGAGGGACGAGGCGTCATACTGTGTGTCCAGGTGGTCAGTGATGGTACACAGAGAGCTCAGCACTTTGGCAACACTTCCTCTTGCCAGTGCAAAGGCCAGAAGAGTCAGCTCCACCTCTGGAGTCGAACAGCAGCTATAAACAAAGAGCAAAAAACTCGTCACTTCCTAAAAACATGAGAAAACCCAGGTATCCCCCAAACCCCACGTAACTGACCACCATCAGTAAAATCCACCTGTCATATGCTTTCTATATGTTGATCAGAAATACTTTCTCAAAATCCTCAAGATAACCTAAAGAAAACCTAAGTCAACCCAGAGGACGAGGACATTAAATCCTCCCCTCTGTGCCCTTAATCTGTAACTATTAAATACTACTAACAATATCAATTTTAACAAGTCAAACTTTATAAACCAAACAATAAACGAACAAACCGCAAATAAAGAAGCCGCTGCAATAAACCTCTGCTAAGAATGATCAGCAGCCAGAGGTTCAAGGGCTCATTCCTCCAAGCACTAACAACCTACTTTAGATGTCCTCCGAACACCTTACACTGAAACTTCTAAAACTCCCGATGTCTCTGGACCCGGTTTGTGCTCCGACCCAGTAGCGCCCTCAGGGCTGGGCGGACACAGAACAGCAAGCACTAAGTCTGTCAAGACGCTAAGGGGCCTCACCCAGGCCCACAGACCAGTGGCTTATTTGCTGGCGGGGGCCGGGGAGGCCGTGGGCTGGGGCTCCAAGTAAGCTGAGAGCTTCCGCACTGGGGACTCTAAGACACCTGTTCTGGCTGCGTCAGAGGACCCCCACCCCCTGAGGTCAGGTGGTGTCGCTACATAATAGAGCTCAGAGGGCTGAACTATGATTTTACTTCAGCCGCTGAAAATGAGCCATTTTTAGTGCTGATCTTTAAAAGATTAAAGATTTTTTTAAAAAAAAGACTTAACAAGCATATAGACCGTCTACCCCCTACAAGCCCCATCTCATCAACCTTGACTTTACCTAGTTATCCTTATGAGGAAGCTGTCCACTTCTTCTAGAACGTTGGGAGACAGGAAAGTCGAGAAATCCGTAGATCCTGGTGAGAGGGAAAGCGGAGGCATGTGCTGCAGTGCCCTCCTGCAAGTGGGAGATGGAAAATCAGAACAAATCCAGGCAAAGCATTAATTTAATAATATTCAGTGAACACCAAACTGTTAGACGCCTGTTGGGATTAATCCCTCATAAACAAAGTGTTCCCACAGAGAGCCCGGCACACAACATCGAACCAGCTTTTTTCCCCAGGAGTCACGGTGCCAAGTAACTTCATGGAGTTTCCTTCTTTTTTATTTATTCTTTCTTTTAAGAGTCCCATTTCCTTCCAAGGAGACTTATTCCAGTCTTTGGGATCAAGTTTTCATTTCACACAGGGTGGGCAGAAGACATACATACTCTACAGAAAAAACCCTGGAGTTCTTAGAAAATGTGACCCCAGAGGCAGAGCAGTCTGTGGCCCAGTAAGCAGTTCATGTTACACATTCCATCTTGAGATCTACGGCATCTAAAGACACGCCACGAATTTTCCTTCCTCCTAGGCATGAGCACCTGTCACAGTTTCTATTCTTGCCCCGTGTTTCTTGGCCCTTCTACCTTAATGCCTGCTTCAATGTTTGTCTTCTCTCGTCTCCTCTTACGTTTATCTTTCTGAATCCCCCAAAAGTTTTACCTCCTCCAGACTCGTAGTCATCAGACAGACTGATGCAAACAAAAATGACTGGGTCCTACTCCACGCCAGCAACTGCGCTGGGTGAGCGAGTGTAGCGCGAACAATGTGAAGGTATGCAAAAAGTAACTCAAAATTCTACAACTGACCGTCATTTCAAGGGAACCGTAATGAGAATCCCTCCAACAGTATTATTCCTATTTCAAAACGGAGACAACACAGCCAGGCTAATGTTGTGTCGGCTTCCCTCTGCTCTCATTCTTCTCCCCACTCTACAAGGGGCTGCACAGGATGGCAGCCACAGGAACGGCAGCTGGTCAATGAGGCCAAACGCACACGAGCGTGCAGTGATTTACCAAATTTATTTCTACTGATACAACACTTTTGTTTCATGATATTCTTTTTATTGTCCCTCACTGATTTTTTTCAAAAAAAAATGACAGGAGTTTTAGATCACTGATATTTAAACATTATGAGTGAAAACATAATTGCAGATTAACAATTACAACTGTTTAGAAATATAAACTTTAAATATATCCATTCCTCAAAAACTTGGCATATCTTTACAAGAATAAGGTAGAAAGCTCTTCTTCTTCCCCTTCCTGCGAATTCAGTCCATAAAGCAGGGCTGCACAAGGCAGACACTCATGTGTGTCTGGGTGGGAGGGTAGGGCACCCTGGGGGCCCATAACGGGGTGCTGAAGTGGGTACTGAGCAGAGTGCGAAAGGTATCTGCACAAAGGGACGGCCTGGCAGGGAATGTGAGCACCAAGGAGGGCGGCCCAGTGCAGAGCGAGGGAACCCAAGGGGAACAAGCAGGGCCCATGCACAGGGACGGTCACAGCAACAGCCCTGCAGAAGGTGCTAGAGCAGGAGTCGGGGAGGAGGGTGTCCAGGCAAGGGCAGGGGAGACGGGAGACGGGTTATATGGAGTAGGACTAAGTAAATAAGTAAATACAGTGGGGAGGAAGGACAGCAGTTTTCTTGTTAACCCAAGAAGGGAGGTGCAAACACAGAGAGAGGAAACCAGAGTGTACACTGGAGTGCTGGATTAGAAGTGGGGGTGTCGCTGCAGACTCTAGAGTTCTCAGCACTACAGATGCAGAAATGACTACGGGTGTGAGTGTGTGTAAGGTGTACACACACACACGTGTACTATTTATGCACAAACGTGTATTTCCTAGTGGGGCCCGCCGACAGGGCCTGAGAGAAGCAATGAGCTCGTCTGTTTAGTCTCCACTAAAAGGGATGATGACCCCTCAGAAACAATGGCTGATTCCAGGACTGAGGCAGGGAGCAATCGAAACAGGCCTGGAATAGTCTGCTGTTCTAGAAAGTAAGGAAGTGTTTCAAGTTGCTGAGGACACGTCAAAAGGACACATGAACCACCACACCAAGGGGGTTCCCACTGGCCAAATCTGGGCCAATCCAAACCTCCACACTGTGATGTTATAAGCCAGCAACTAACACAGGAATCATGAGTCCATACCAATATATAAAGTTTGAGGGAGGATGGGACATTTACAGTCTCAAAGCACCCCTCACAAAATACTTACTAATTACCAACACAAAAAAGCCCTTTACAATGGAAAAATTTGGCAGACGCCCCTTCCTTCGAGGGATCAGAGTTAACGTGAGCGGGACTAGTAAGTGGACACTAAAGTTGTGCGACACCTGATAGGACGCGATGAGAACACACCATCACTTCTCTGATACTCCTGCTAAAGACACAAAACCTAAACTGAATCATTACGAAACATCAGGTGAACCAAAACTGAACGACACTCCTGGAAATAACCAACCTATAATTTTCGAAAGTGTCAAAGTCAGAACGTCCAGGAAAGACTGAGGAACTGGTCCACACTATAGGAGACTGAGGAGACGTGACAAACGCCAAGGGTGGCCTAGGTCCTTTTGCTACACGGGACGTCACTGGGACAGCTAGCAGGACCCGAATGGGACCCGAGGACCAGATGACAGCACCGTGCATCACTGGGAACTCCCTGGTCCTCTTGGTGGCAGGGAACCTTCTTTTTTTTTTTTTTTTTTTTTTT